TGCCGGGACCTGGCGTTCCCGCTCGTGCCTTCCCCGAGCCCGGCCTGCCTAGCCGTCCTGTCGCCTCCGCGTAGCGCCTCGTCTTCTCCCTCGGCACCTCCCAGCGCTAAACCCGCCGCCTGCCTTCCGCGCCAGGCGGGCTTTCCAAAAAGCAGCAGTAAAAAGAGTCATAATTGGGTCGTTAACTGTTACGTGAGGATGTTTTGCTTCGCTAAACACGAAGACTTTTACAAAACGCTGAAGTTCACCACCACCGTAGCTCATTTTAGTTCTTCAGTAGTCCTGCCTGGTCTTCGTTTCTGCCTTGCTCCGCACGTGCTTCAGCAGCCCCGCACCAGCCAGCAAAATCCGAGCGACGCGGTGTGCGCAGTGCTGGCGTGGGGCTTGGAAAGCTTTCCCGGGGGTGGGAAGCGGACCTTTTAGGAGAGCGACGGACGCTCGGGAACCACTGCCTGGAGCCATCCCATCTCTCGCTGCTGTCGCTGTAGCTAGAGGATCTGACGCGGCGTGCCCCGGTGATTTTGCCGGTGGTGTTTCCGGGGCTTACGTCCCACTCGTAAACTCCTGCCCGGACCCTGAAAGGGAGGTCTGCTGGCAGCATGGCTAATCTCAGTGCTGCGAGAAAGGTTTGGTGTCGGTCGGCTTTTAACGAGCAGGGAAGAAGTAGTCGTGCCCTTACCCGAGTGCCCGTTACGCTGGAGGGGCTCTGGGAATCGTTTCATCACTCCTCCTTATTTTCCGTTTAGGAGGACATGGCCGCTCACGTGGGAGCATCCCGAACGCCTCAGGAGGTGATGGAACACTACGTGAGCATGTATATCCACGGCAACCTGGGGAAGGCCTGCATCCCTGACACTATTCCCAACAGGGTAACGGATCACACGTGTCCCAGCGGTGGCCCGCTTTCTCCTAGCTTGACCACGCCGCTCCCGCCGCTGGACATATCGGTGGCGGAACAGCAGCAGCTGGGATACATGCCTCTCCGGGATGACTACGAGATTGAATACGATCAGGACGCGGAGACTCTGATCAGCGGCCTTTCGGTGAACTACGACGACGACGACGTGGAAATAGAATTGAAGAGAGCTCACGTAGACATGTACGTGAGGAAGCTCAAGGAGAGGCAGCGGCGGAAGAACATTGCGCGAGACTATAACCTGGTGCCAGCCTTCCTGGGGAAGGACAGAAAGGAGAAGGAGAAAGCGCCCAAGCGAAAGATCACGAAAGAAGAGAAGGAGCTGAGGCTGAAACTGAGGCCTCTGTACCAGTTCATGTCTTGTAAGGAGTTTGAGGACTTCTTTGAGAACATGCACAAGGAGAGGATACTCCGAGCCAAGATTCGGGAGCTGCAGCGGTACCGTCGAAACGGAATCACCAAAATGGAAGAGTCGGCGGAATACGAGGCAGCCAGGCATAAACGGGAAAAGAGGAAGGAGAACAAAAACCTCGCTAGTTCCAAGCGAGGGAAGGAGGACGGTAAAGAAGGTGAATTTGCTGCTATTGAAAACCTGCCTGGCTTTGAACTCTTGTCGGACAGGGAAAAGGTGCTCTGCAGCTCTCTGAATCTGAGTCCTGCGCGTTACGTGACTGTAAAAACTATCATCATTAAAGACCATCTCCAAAAAAGACAAGGAATTCCTTCAAAGAGTCGCCTTCCCAGTTACTTAGATAAGGTACTGAAGAAAAGGATTTTAAACTTTCTAACGGAAAGCGGTTGGATATCCAGGGATGCGTCATGAAACTCAGCTGATCTGGAAAGACCCAGCAGAGGCCCACCGCAGCCTCAAGGACTCCGTCGTGTTTTCCCTTCCCTCCCCAGAGATACACAGATTATGTCACTTAAAAACAGAAGCCAATGCATAAAGCCCCACGGTATTCGCGATCCGTGGTTCAAAGGGACCTCTGCTTTGGATCGTGGGAAATACGTAACGGTGAAACTGCTACGTCGGATTTCACTGCTTTTGGTACATTTACAGGGACAGATTTCTCCCACGTGAAATCGCTGGTGGTCCCAGAGTAGTTACTTCACTCCGTACTATTGGACAGATGAGTATCAGTGTAATCCTTGCTTTTCCTGGAAGGTGGGAGACAGTTTCTTTTGCTGGAAACTTTCTCCTCCCTCTGTTTTTTGGCATCCTGCTGGCAGCAGAGTGAAGCTTTTCAAAAGTCCTGAGCTCGGGAGCGGGGCGAGCGGGGATTTTTGTGACCTCTGCTAAGCTTGCCGGACATTCCCCTCGGTAACTGTAGCCCGGGTGCTGGGAGAGCAGGGTGACAGTTTCTGCCCTTCTGGGATGGGCCGCGGCAGGGAGCGGAAGGAAAGAAACGCGGTGGGTGAGGTGCCTTCAGGTACTTGTGCTGTGGGAAGGGTTCTCCGAGAGCCGCCTTCACGCCCAGCTGATCCAAAACATCAGCGTTGTGGCTGAAATGGGTCCCACTGAGCCTCGGATGTCAGCTGGTGGGTGGCAGGACTCGATGTTAACTGGTCAGCAGTTGCCGGAGTCGCTGTTTCCGGGAGGGCTGGGCTCTGCCGTGAAGTGGCCGGTCTGGGCCAGGAAGGGGGTTTGGGGAAAACAGGCCGCAGGTTGTTCTGCAGCGGCTGGGGGGCTCAGGCATCAGACCTGCAGGTTCCCGGTGCTGGGGAAGCCTGCTCCTCTGAGCCTGCGTGGGCTGAGGAGGGGGAGCCGCCACCGCCTCCTGAATCCATGTGGGAGGGACAGGGAAACGCAGCGAGATTCTCAGATGGAGAGTGGTCGGGAAGTTTGGGGTTTAAAACCAGGAAGCGACCCAGATCAGGTCAGAACGCACGACTAGCACGCTCCGGAAGGACGGAGCTGCGATCGCGCCCGCCTTGAAACGCACGGAACTGAGCGTGCCGAAATGCCTGGCATGGCAGGAGAAGCGCGAGAACGGCGCGCTTGTCGCGGGGCTGCTTGTCACGACTGACCACGGGCTGGGCCGGGCGCTGGCGACGGGCACCGGCAGGCGGGGTTACCGCCTGGCACAGGAACGCCAGGGGGGGCGTGCTGCTCTAGCGAGGGGAAGGGGGGGCTCTAGCGAGGGAAAGGTGAGGTGGGGAAGGACTAGAGAGGGATTCTTGGGCTTGTTTCATCCTTAAGTTCCCATGCTGGCATTTAACCAAATGAATAATAATAACAATTCAAAATGGTGGTTGCCATGAGGAAGATGGCGCAGCGTTACTTGTGCCTGAGCCTCTCTACCGGTCGTGTCCGGAGGGGGAAGCTGTGACCGGAGGCCAGTTGGGCAGGTCTGGAGTGCAGGTGTGCCACAGGGAACTCGTCTGGCTTCGGAACGAGCGCAAGCACCGGAGCGTCATCTTGGTTGGGTGCTTTGGGCTGCAGCCCGTGAGGAGAGCACAGACCTCCAACCAGTGGGAGCTGTGCGAGGTGGCAGAGGTACGCTGACCGGGTTTTGGTTCACGTATCCCATGCTACCAAAACAGCGTTACCAGGGGGTTCAGAGTAAGAGGGGTACAACGCAGAGCCAGCATCCCTGAGGAAGAAAAAACCCAAAACTAGTTTTTGGTAGTGCCTTTTGCTTTTGAGCTTGTGATGTTACGTCCCTTCGAAAGGGGGAAGGGCTGTGTCCTCTTGGATGTAACGCCTTGTTCGGCCTACCCGTACGCGGCTTCTCGTGGAACGCTCGAGAGCAAGCTGTGCCTCCCCGGCAGCAGCGGAACCAACCACAGCGCCGAGCAGCTGTGAGGACTGTGCCCGCGCCGCAGGCGCGTACACACGGGTTCACCAGGCATCAGCCCGGGGTTCCTCTCCCCGGCCTGCGGAAAGGAAGCTCGGCCTTTCTTTCTAGTATTCTAGTTGTGCGGTTTGGTTCTTCCTGGAACCTGTTCCCTCAACGCCGTAATGTGCCGTTTCTGATCGTGCTCTGGAGCTTCGGCTGCACGGAGCTGGGAGTCTAAAGGATAGTATTTTTACTCCAATCTGTGCTTATTTTTTTTTTCCCTTTCTACACTTTTGGCACATCTGAGTCTAACTGAAGCAATAGTCTAAAGCCCATCTGAACAGTAACTTAAAAAACCCCGATAAATCTAGGCACCAATGAGTCATTTAAATGTAGAATGAATTCTGCATTTACACTTTGTAGTTTCTTAACTCCTCAGCCCCTCCAGGACGTTTCTTTGGTGCTAGGCGTAACTTATTGAACATCAAAATGAATGTAAAATAAAGTATTTTTAATGTATGAAATATGGATATCAATATTTATTTTATACTTGCAAGCAAATTCAAGGTGGTAAATGTTTGCTTTAGCAAATACCAGTCCCTTGGAAAGGGCTTCCCTAGAAGCAATGTCTCGTGGTCAGCCATGCTTTTAATTGAGGTGACTTGCACTAGAGGATGCTGCTGTGCCATATTTTCACATGGAACTGATCTAGTCTTAAGCATTCCTTTGTAAGGAGCTGCTGGTTGGTTGGGCTTTTTACGCTGAGATGCGGTTATGTTAATGCAGCGACTTACTGGAGCTGCGCTGTTTCTGTTCGGTGGTGAAAGGGCTGAGAAAAAACACAGCAAAGAGCTCTTCAAAACTTGTATCTTGTGCTGATCGGGAAGCGCTTCCTGTGCTGTACCAGTAACCTAGCCTCCATGTTGCTAATGAAAAGGTGTTTTATATGCTTCACGCTCTTGACTTTTCTAATTAAAGATATCACCAGTGACAGTCCCTGGCCTAACAGCGTTGATGGAAGCCTGTGGAGAGAGCGGCGCTGATCCGACAGCGGCACCAGTCAGCCCGCGTGTCCTACGGTACCCTTTGCTCTCAAGGTGACAAAGGAGCGTTCATCTCCACCCTGCGTGTACTGCCCGCTGCGGAGGGGCTCGCTGCGGCATGCGCTGGATCCAGACCCTCCCGCCTTATGTTCGCTGCCGTCCCAGCCAGCATGAACAGTGTCAGCAGGTTGGCATCAGTCTCTGACCACGGGCCGCTTTGTGAATCACGCAGACATAGCACTGACGTTTTTCTCTCATGCAGCAGCTGCATCAACTGTCTTTGCCACCACCACGGACTTTGTTAGCCTTCTGGCTTACTCTCTCTTCTTGCAGAACATTTGGCGTGTGCCCCAGTTGCTCTTAAGCCATGACACATAAAATACTGTGAAGGAGGATCCCTGGTGAGCGTGTTCAGCTCACCGGCGCCTTCCTTAAAGGGAATGTAGCACTCACTCGGGTGGTGTCCTGGCGGAGCTGCGCCAGGCACACGACTGCCTGTCCTGAAATTGTGTAAAGCCCAACTGATGTCATGCACACTCAGCATTTGATGAGGTTTTTGCATGGTATATCGGTAAATAAACTTGTATTAAAGTTTCTTTCCATTACAGTGATTTAATGGCAGCATAGCTTGCGGAATGAGGAAAGTGGCTGAAGTCTTTGCAGTAACAACACAGGGAGATGCAGTTCAGCTGAACGGTGATGGGTGGAGGAAGAGGTCTTCGTGAAACGGCAAAACTGGGGGTAGCTTTGCTGGCTGCTCTTAAGCTGGAATTTCAGAACCGCCTCCCTCCCTTCCTTGCCTTCTTCAGTGCCGCTTACTGTTGCGTGGCAGAGCGCACGGGTGGTTTGAGCTCGCAGTGCAGAGAGCAGCTTCCCATGCTGAAAGCTGCTCTGGAAGGGCAGGCCAAGGAAAAGGAACCCTTAAATGAGACAGTTATCAGCCTTAAAGGTACTAGTTTGAGACTTGTGCTGAACATTTAACAGTAACTTGTGTTTAAGAACACCTTCAATGAAATAGCCCAGAAAAGACAAGTTGTGTGAGATACTGGGAAGCTCATTAACAAAATCTTAATCTGCTGGGCAGAAGCTGTCCCTTTGTTTTAACTGTCCTACTGGAAAAAGTTCAGTGCTAACAAAGTGATTAGATCCAGTTTAGATACACGGGGGTTGGGAGGGAGCAGAACGACACGTGACAGTTCTTGAAAGAATCTCAGGATGGTTTGGGTTGGAAGGGACCTTAAAGACCATCTAGTTCCAACCCCCCTGCCATGGGCAGGGACACCTTCCACTAGACCAGGTTGCTCAAAGCCTCATCCAGCCTGGCCTTGAACACTTCCAGGGATGGGGCATCCACAGCTTCTCTGGGCAACCTGTTCCAGTGCCTCACCACCCTCTCCGGGAAGAACTTCTTCCTGAAGGTACCCAAGTCAATCCCAGTCCCTTTATGGCCTGTCGGCTGAGCACAGGTTCCAATCAAAGTACAACAAACGCGTTTCTTCAATCCTCCTTCCCACAGCCACCACGTGCTCGGACCCAGATGGAAGGAACTTACTTCCAAATTTAACGTAAGTATATGGAATCCCCTGTAGTTTTACACTCAATCTTTGCGTTTTGATCCCTCTACTTGATTAGTTTAAAAAAATGAACACACTCGTCTTCTCACATGCACCAAAAATTATCCTCCCTCCCCTGCCCAGTCAGAGTACTGGTTTTCTTTCTTAGACTTGAGAAAGAAAGAACGGATCCTTAAACACGGCCAACGCCCAAGCAGTAGTGTGCACTGATGTTGTTGCCAGTTAACGGTCTGATCCCCGTGAGACAGACCAGCACTGGAGAAAACATCTGAAGAACCAGGCGTGACTTCTCCCCAGGAGTGCTCAGTAAGCTGCTGGCCACTCTGCTTCTGCACTGAGAAAAATGAATCCGTACTTGACCGTAAGGTAAGGAGCGCCTTGATCCACCACAGCCAGAAAGAAGGGTGAAAGATTCCCAGGTACGTATTGTTCACCAGGTCCTAACAACGTGCCTACCTTTGCCGTCTCTGTCCTGTGCGTCAGGTGCACGGGCTTTGAGGATAGAGAGGCCAGATCCTTCGTCAGCTGTGTCATCTGGCAAGTTCCGTCCGCCCCTATCCGGCTGAGCGGACAAAGGCAGGACAAAGCGTTTCAGTGAACCCCGTATGGTGTTTCAGCCCCCTTCGGCAGGGCTGAGAGCAGCAGGTTAGACACGGCAAGAGCTGCGCATGGGAGTTGTTCTGGTGCAACTTAAGAGCCAAGAAACGAAGATGAAACCAAGTTCACGTTTTTGTTTGAGCCACTTACGTGCAATTATTTATGTAATTCTAAAAGACAGCGTGTATCAGACTCGGCTACTCGCTTCTTCAGGTGGTGTGGCTGCCAGCAGGGCTGTGGCTACAGTTTGCATAACAAACTGATCGTAAAGCTGGGAAGTTACAAGACTGTCAAAATTGTTTAAACCAATTTATACAGTATTAAATTAAAAATCCAGAGATAGGATAAATTCTGTTGGTTCTTCAATGCCATACAAGTATTGGATGGTTTTCTTGGGTCAGCATTGCTACAGAAAAAAAGGGTTGAACAGTTAGGAAAGATGTCTGCTCTCCATTTATTTACAGGTCAGATTCACAGAGGTTTCGGTTTCAGTTGCTGAGACATTATTTCTGAATAGACAAAAAAAGGGCATTTATGTGTAAAAGCGGACAGGCTCTTGCAGAAAGCAGGTTATTTGTACTACTTCACCCACTTCTGCAATGTTAGGGGCTACAAAACAAAAGGAAGAGTCTGACCCACTATTCGGATTTTCGATCTACACATAAATGTGAGAAAGATTCTTGTGACCGTTTCTATATAATGCACCTTCGGTAGCAACAGTGGCAGAACTGTTACCTAATCCAAATTATCCAAGGGCTTAATGGCTCTTGTATTTCACACTTAAGGAGAGACCTTATGGAACGGTGACCCTGAGGGCCACTAAGCAGGAGAATTTCATCTGTTGCTTCCTTTTCACTGGGAGACCTCGACCAATTCATTTAAACCTCTCGGGGGGCAGGGGAAGGAGGAAAGCACAGGCTAAGGGAAAAACCATCCAGCTGCTTAATAGTTGTATGGCATTTTGAATTCTCAGATGAAGCAGCTAAGCGTCCTTCACGACACCCACCAAGGCAGGCCGCAGCGTACGCCCATGCAGCTTGTAGCCAATCTTGGATACTAATGCAATGGTGCCAGGCTCCTTCCCTTCCATGGGAGCATGGAACAATGCTTCATGTTCATAGGGATCGAACTTGGCTCCGACAGGATTCAGTCTGAGCAGGCCATGTTTTTTAAACACTTTTTGAATCTGTACTTCTGTCATAACAAGACCTTCATATAAGCTCTTCAGGTGAGGATTTTCATCTTTGATTTCTTCTTTCGGAACACTTTCTGTTGCTTTCTCCAAAATGTCTGCAACTTCCAGTAAGTCCTTACAGAAGCTCTGAATCCCTAAAAAGAAAGAAAAGTGAAGGGACTGGGATTAGTCCACTCAGGGAAACAGATGTTAAAAAACCACAACACTACCCCAAACCCTCCAGCAACAATCTGTATTCTCCTAGATTTTTAACACTAAACCCTTGGGGTGAAATGTCCTTCCCAATTTTACTTGATGATCCAGAAGGGTTACAGATACCTTGAAACCCACGCCACCTCCTCTAGCCTATGGAAAAACATCTTTCAGCTTAACACTTGACAAGAGCTAAAGCTACGCCGATGGCCTAACATTAACAGCTGAAATCCCAGGTGAAGTTACCAAAGCCTTCAGATGTCGTAATTTCCTCATGTCTCTCTCCTCCTGGGGTTCACCTAAAGCTCAGAGCAGCATGTTGCCCTATTCCTACCCTTTAATCTGACGTGCAAAATGTATTTGCTAAAAAAAACCAAACAAACAAAAACCCAAAACAAAACAAAAAACCAAAGAGCATGTGGTCGGACTGGTAAGGAGTCGGAGAGGTGAATGGGGATTCTGCTTTGAATGAGAAGTCACACCTCTCCCTCAGAGGGTCAGAAGCCGTGCCTTGTGAAGGCCGAGCAACTCAGTCTGTCCCCTGACGCTGTTCTCCAGCTCAGCCTGAAAGGATCTGGACTGATCTCACTTAAGGGCAAACTGTCTCTCAGAAGCATGAGAAATCATGACGACTCAGCAGAGTAACACATTTCTGCATCAAGGTAAGCCAATGCCAAACTGCCCTGCATTGTGGGAGCCTGCTCTCTTTTTTCTGTAGCTACAGCCAGCCTCTTCTTAACTCTACCTCACACTGCAGATTTCGTCTTCCTTACCAAGAACCGCTGTGCGCATTCCGAGAGGACCAGTCTTTGGTTTAAACGAAAAGAACTATGGAAGCACCTTGCAGGACCTACAGGGATCAGTGAGTTCTCAGGAAAGAGTCACTCTACCAACTGCACAACTCCGTAGCGACTTGAGCTTGTTACAGAAACGTAACTAACGGTGTACAAGTAGTTTCAAAATAAGAACAAATGAATCAAGGTTTTAAATTAAAACTGTGATGAGGGCTGAAGCGTCCCAAACGTAGGTTAACCAGTCCTCTGGTGAGCTGGATCAAACCGAATAACCAAACTCTCCAGAAGGTGGTTTCTTCTGGTTTGGGGTGTTGGGGTATTTATTTTTGTGTAAATTCTCTCTGCAGGTATCTGTGACTGCATCTCTGTGAATTTATGCAAGTCTCAGAAATCAATTTCCTTCAGCAGAAAAAGCAGTCATACACAAATGATAAAACTTAGAATAATGCAGATTTAGTTTTCATGAGAAATTTTATTTGAGCATCTATTTCTGTTGTAGCATCTCTGAGCTCAGACATGACTCAAAGTCCTTCTGCACTAAGTAGCAAAGTAGTGAAACAATGCTTACAGAAAATCAACCTCAGGGTGAAGCATCCAAACACCCGTGACAGCGGTGTAAGAATACTATGTAACCGAGAAACACTTTTTCTTACAGCTTACATTAACTGTCAGAACTTCAAACTTGCGTATTCAGAACTGAACTGCCCAGCTGCGTACAGTGTGCGGCAAAACGAGCAACTGATTTCTAAGCCGGGTGGCAAACGCTCAGATGACACAGCACTCTTCTTCTGCGGTATTTGCATACAATTCCTGTTTTACAGATCTGCGTTTCAGCTCTCGGAAAGCTAAATTAGATGTCAGTAGCCTGGCTCTTGAAGAAAGATGTGTTTCTACAACCCCTGGTAGCCAGTGACTGTACGTTCTCACCACCGAACGCATCCCTTCTGTTGGAAAGCTATGGCCTCCAACGGATCACAGAGTTATTCTGATATAAAAGGCTAAGAAAGAAAAGCCACACAAAAAACCCAAACCAGAGAAACAACAAAAAAACCCCAACACCCAAACTAGAAGGAAAGCTGGTATTCTATGCCCTTGGTTTAGTTCTCTGCAGTCAGTTTTGAGACCAAAGTGCATGAAAAAGGCAGACTTCATGCTGCAAACCTTGAGAAATCTACTCGTGCAGTACACACTGTAGGAAATCAAGTACCAAATTTAAAGGAAGTTGTTGCCTGTAACAGTTTGAGTCTTGCCCTTGTCTAGCGAGGTGACTGAGATTCTGATGCAAAGTGAGGAACCATTCAAACCGCCCTGCCTCAAATACACTTCTTTAACCAAGTAGTCAGAATCACTGGAAAGTACAACCGGTCAAAACTGTGGGCTAGCCAGCTCAATTCTGCAGGCTGCGCGTGTCATGCTAGCATTCCCTGGTCTGATGTGTATATGCAAAAAGAGCCTCCACTGACCGTATAACTTTGCCTCTTCCACCAGCTTCTGGCTTCTTTGCCTCACATTTTCCGCATCTGCCAAGGCACGCTTGTACTTGTCCTGAGGAAGAAAAAGCAGTACAGAAAAGATGTCATTCCTGGTAGCCAGGTAGTTGATGATAATTCAAAACAGCACAATCAGTATAAACCAACATTTTTAGCAGTTACACAGCCTAAACCCACCACCTAAAGAGTAATCTGGAGACAATATGCCAATTATTACAACATCCCTCCTACCAAGGCAGATGTTTGCTTCCCTTCAGTGCAGGCAGAAGCGAGGGAAAGGAAGTAAGATGGGTTTCCAGACTCTCAGTACTTGTCAACAGGTTAGCTGGAAGAAACTTTTAACTCTATGGATATATCACGTTTCATGAACGACAAATTTCTGCTTTTTCTGATGTGAGTTCACAGAAAGCCTTCATCAGTCATAAAGAACTTTGACACCACGGCAAATGAGATCCAACCCAGCCGTGACTTTCAAACCATCTCTTCCCTCTCCATATGTACCACAGACTGTCTTCTGTTTTCACAAACTCTACCACTATGAAGTTTAACTCCTCTGTGGTTAAGTTTTGGGCTGTTCCTAGCAAGATGGCCACCTAGCGGCCGATGTACTGAGAATGAAATTCAAAGAACTTGGCTATTTCCTCAGTGCTTCACCACCTAACCCAGAACACTCCATGCTGGGCTGCCTCTCTCAATATGCCAGTAAAGAATCTCAAAACAGAACAAAAATAGTCAACGAGTTGACTGAAGAACCATGTTAGCAAATGCTGTCAACAGAGATGTTAAGTGACATCTCAGTTTTGTCTTTCAGTGCTTTGGGAAGGGCAACAGAAATGAAACTCAATCCACTTATGATCCATAGGTGCTGCTTCTAGAGAAGGTTCTGGGCTCCCTCTCAAAGTCTCAGGTGCTCTACAAAGGCATTTCATATAAAGCACTCATCCAGAAAAGCAACTCCTTTGTTTAATCCACACCTCTTGGGGCATTCTTCACTCTCTGCTGAAGTCACTCGGGGGAGAGAATGCAAGATACATTAGGCCAGACAGAGGGAACGGGGCAGTTCAGCCTTGCGTTTGACAGGCTCTCCAACAGAGCAGGTTTGAAACTCCCACTTCCCAAGCAGGTAATAAGTACACTATTATACAAAGTTAAGCGTCATTAATCCTGACCTTTGGAAAAGGCAGCAACGCTTTTCAGAAAGCCTGCTCATGGCGCACATAAATAGACGATCAAATCAAAGACACGCTCAAGCCCTTCAATGTGCTTCTAAAAATTTCTCAACTGAGCAAGACCTAAATTAACTGAAGTCAGCAAAACTAGTAAAAAATGTTCAGGCTGAAAGAAGTCCTATTCCCATAAAGAAATTGGAATTAAACTATCTTAAAATCTTCATTTTGGATCAGGGATGCATCTCAGGTCTTGAAGTACATCTACTCTTAAGCAGAATTTGCCAAATTGCAGGTTTTTATTGAACAGCTACAGAGCAGTCACACAACCGTACCCAGACTGCGCACTGAGAACCCAAAATGAATGCTCTTGGGTATGCGCCTTGTAAAGGATGCAACCTGATGACCCCAAGACACTTACCCTAACCTCTTTTAGTTGTTCTTCCAGTTTGGCCTTTTCTTCAGTTAAATTTTTTTCAGTAGAGCTGGGTTCAACCTTCTGTTCATTTTGGCTCTGACTGTGGTCCTCTTCCAAGTTCTGGCCAGTATTTTTCTGTTGTGTCGCTACACAAAGCAGCCGTGGCGAAGTCCTAAGGCAAAAACACGTGGATGATATTAATCAGTTCCTTACTTTGTAAGGTATTAACATTTTCTGGACATATTGGACACTTTAAATGTCAATGTCTATAAAGTTCTCACATTAAACCATAAATTAATATGACCATTCTAGATCTGTGAAATCAGTTTGCAGCACCTTTCATCAGAAGCAGCTGGACTTAGCTCATCTAAACTGCTGCAAAAAATAACTTCACATCGAGACAACCACAGGGCAGTCACCTGTAAGTTACCATTATGTTAAGTTTATACAGTCGTAGCACTTTTAAGGGGAATACAAAATATGAAAATACGTTTTTGGTGGATGAAAAGCTGGACATGAGCCGGCAGTGTGCGCTGGCAGCCCAGAAAGCCAACCGTATCCTGGGCTGAATCAGGAGAAGTGTGGCCAGCGGGTCGAGGGAGGGGATTCTGCCCCTCTACTCTGCTCTTGTGAGACCCCACCTGGAGTGCTGCATCCAGCTGTGGAGCCTACAACATCGGAAGGATATAGAGTGGTTGGAGCAAGTCCAGAGGAGGCCACGAAGATGCTCAGAGGGCTGGAGCCCCTCTGCTGTGGGGACAGGTTAAGAGAGTTGGGCTTGTTCAGCCTGGAGAAGAGAAGCCCCCGGGGAGACCTTATTGCACCCTTCAGTACCTGAAGGGGCTACAAGGAAGCTGGGTGGGTTTTTTTACAAGGACCTGTAGTGACAGGACAAGGGGGAATGGGTTTAAATTGCAAGTGGGGAGGGTTAGATTAGATATCAGGCAGAAGTTCTTCACTGAGAGGCCCAGAGAAGCTGTGGATGCCCCATCCCTGGAAGTGTTCAAGGCCAGGCTGGATGAGGCTTTGAGCAACCTGGTCTAGTGGAAGGGGTCCCTGCCCATGGCAGGGGGGTTGGAACTAGATGGTCTTTAAGGTCCCTTCCAACCCAAACCGTTCTGTGATTCCATGAAATACGAGCCGGTTTTCAGCACAGTACCCTACAGGAAGCAAACCTGGTTTATGTGATGCAATCACCTGCAACAGCCGCCCAGAAGACACACCACCAGTAACAGTGGTTTACCGCCGACTGCTGGAGAGCAACAGGACGCGCCTTCTGTGTCCCTGCTGCATCGCAAATACCACGCCAAGAACGGGCCGGTTTCCACGAAGGTGGCTATTTATCCCTTTCGTTCTCAGCCTGAACCGGCTGAGCTGCCTGAGCAAAGCGGCTCGCGGAGGGGGCGCTGCCGCGATGACAGAAAGCCTCTGACCCCCGCACGCACACCAAGGCTCCGGGTCTGGAGACACTCAGACTCAGGGCCGGGCCCGGAAGGCCCCGCGATGCGTGGCCGGGCCACTCTCCCGTGGACAGTAAGGGGAACCTGGCTAAGGGCATCGGGGGACACGGGGCCGACAGCAGCCCGTCCCGGCTGCAGGGAGGCGCTCCCGGCGTAGAGACGGAGGGCCAGGACTCGGGGGGGCGAAGCACACCAGCGCGGT